CCCCCTCCGGCGACTGGTTGGTTATTCTGCCATCAACGAGATCGCTAAGGAGACCACCATCTTTGTTAAAAGGATGTGCTCTCTCTTTATATATGCTAGCTCTGATGTTGACGCCTGTCATTTACTGAAGGTGGGACAACTGACCCGGGTCAAGTCAGTGGTGCACTATAGGTCCCAGACCGGAAGTCCTGGCCGGTGGTTGGTCCAGATTGGAGGTCCTGAGGCCGATGGTAGAGGCCGATGGTAGGATGGTCCAGACCCGGTCAGCGTGCGCAGCCCCGGTCGTCGTCAGGTTGGAAGCACGATTCGAAGGGACCGAAAGGGTCGTCATCTTGGTCGTCTCTGCGGTTGAGGCTATTGCGTACGACTCTGGAAAGGAGGGCATTTGTCTCACGCAATCGATGAAGACCGCGTTCCGCCTCTTCCAGCTTAAGTCGGTAATCTCGCACTTGTGCGTGCAATTGCGCCTGCTCCTGTTGGGCACGCTGCTGGTCCAATTGCGCCTTCTGTCGACAACTCATGATCGTAGACGCTTGACTTATCACCGCCTTACGCAACGTTTCAGCCAACCGCGTCCTGCCAACCCACTCTCGAAGGACAGGCCGCAATCGCGTCCGTGCGTCCTCAATAGACGCGGAATCCTTCAGTAATTCTACAAATCCGTTCAATGTATCTTCCAACAACTGCTCCTTGGGACCTGCCGCTGCTGCCATGTTGGGACCTGCCGCTGCGGCCATGCTGGAACCTGCGGTTGCGACCATGTTGCGACCTGTGACTACGGCCGTATCGTCCGACGTGCGGGAAGCAAAGTCAGAAGGATGGCTCTCTGCTTCCTCATCCATTCTCGTGCGCTTGTGCCTTGGGGCGCTGCGGCTCTGGCCATGTGCCGTCGTAGTAATGTTTGCGACGATCGTCCGAGCCTCAGCCAAGTCGTTCTGGGTCGTCTCCAATATAGAAATCAAGAAGGGTCGAGACTGCTCCGGGAACTCCCGCTCCAGCTCACTCAAATTGGGCGCGTAACCAGAATAAGGAGAGTCGCCAATCATCGGCGGACCGCCCATGGCTGCACCTGGCGGACCTCCCGCCAAGGCGCCACCTTCATTACGAGGCACGCTCCTAAAGATGTCCTCATCTCCTCTAAATTCGCGCGTTCGACGCTTCTTCATCAATACCGCCGCTGTGGGCATTGGACGGCGTTCCTACTGGTATCAAAAAGAACCTATGTCTGCGACCTGCGATGTCGCCGGCTCAATTATAATCAAATATTCCTCAAAGTCGTCCGACAGAAGCCCCTCGCCCGCCTCTGCACTCCGACCCTTAGAACCACCCTCCTTGCCACCCTCAGCCTCCTCGCTACCCTCAGCCTCCTCGCCACCCTCAGCCTCCTCGCCACCCTCAGCCTCCTCGCCACCCTCAGCCTTCTGGCCATCGTCAGCCAAAGTCGTCGCCGAGCTTGAGGAGGCCTCGTCCTTTTCTGCTGCTTTACCGGCGCCCGTTTCTGCGCCGCCACGATCGGTGCCCCCTTTGCCAGTCGTTTGGTCCATCAAGCCGCGACAGAAGATCGATTTTGTCAAAGCGTTCATCCACGCCCGCTTGCACTGCATCGTGCTGCAGCACATCGTCAGAGGCTCAGGATTCAGCTTCCGCGCGATTTGGAAACACCTCGGGTCGGACGCCAGAGGTAGAATTGGGTAACTGAACGTAGCGACGTTCATTCTCAGCGAACTCAGGCTAAGCTCCTTCGCTGTTAGATTAGCCGGTACCACCTTGGGCATATCCTTGTCATATACATACAAGTATCCCGTATACTTCTTTTGACAACCATCAACATGAGGGGACTCGACTTCCAGGACCCGGCTAATCTTCGCCAAAGCCTCGTTTGTTGGATTGTATAAAGGATCTATCTGGTTAGATGCGCATATAAGAGCTAGATACACCGGCAACAGCACTCCTTTCATGTCAGATGAACCAGAGAAGGATTTGGTTCCTTTCACCTTAGGGTTTGATGGTTGAAACCGGCCCTTAGCACACGTGTGTGCACACGGGTTTCGCAGCGCTCGCCAAATCCGTTCATGGGGTTAAATTATGCCTGCACCGGAGTGGTAGAGTCTTGATACGATCTAGAACTTCAGGGGCTCTACCAGATGTCCTTCCCTGATAAATTCTGTCCGCCAAGTCAGCAGAGCCGAAAATCTGAATTGCGTGGTCCCTATCGTTCCAGTCGACCACATCAAGGATGCATACAGCGTCCGTTCCCCGGTAGCGGTAGATGACGACGAGATTGCCGTTGATCGTATGACAGAAGGTACCATTAGGATGTACTGTTTTAGATCTTGCGCTGCGAGCATCCTGTTTCATAGTCTGATAAATAAGTTTAAGAGTCTCAGAGATCGCACTACCACTTTCGTTACTGGTTTGGTCGTCAGTGTTGGTCTTGGCTTGAACGTCGGTCTCATTCCTGGTGTGGTTAGCTTTGGTCCAGGTGGAGAGACATTCGACGCAGACGTCAAAATTGGGTGTTACGTTGTCGAGTACGTTGGTAAGCCAATTGGGGAAATGAGCGTTTTGTAGGTTATGGTAGCCTACTTGATATGGGTAGATGGCTACAATGGGAGTACCAACAACAATGTCCACATTAGACACCAGGAGAGCACCTGGGCAAACATCAACCACAAAGCAGATGCTCAGTCCAATAGGGTTGGGTCGATGGGGGGTTCTCGTAGCGAACACGGCACGTTTCTCTACCAGTTTCGGCACCGTAACTTGAGAATTTAGTTTGGCAAAGTTCTGACCACCTATAATAGCGCCCTTACTCGTATTCAGGTGGAATAAGAACAAGACCAACACTGCCTCACCCCTATTAGGCACCCAGCCCAGAGTCTCAAGCAACTTGATACTAGCATAGCTTGCTTCTCCGGAACATAGACCCTGTCGAGGGGTGCCCCACTTCTCGTAAAAAGAACCATCGTACACGTAACCCACAATACTCATGCGCCCTCCCAATTTCTTTTTACCTCGGCTGGTCCTACACCCCCCCCCCCCCC